GTAGTAGTAGTAGTAGTAGTAGCAGTAGTAATAGTAGTAGTAGTAGTAGTAGTAGTAGTAGTAGCAGTAGCAGTATCAATGGAAGTAGTTGTAGTAGTAGTAGTAGTAGTAGTAGTAGTAGTAATAGTAGTAACGGTAGTAACGGTAGTAGTAATGCTACTTCTGCTACTACTGCTGCTGCTGCTACTACTACTACTACTTCTTCTTCTACTGCCACTACTACTACTACTACTACTACTACTACTACTACTACTCCTACTGCTACTACTACTACTACTACTGCTGCGTACTACTACTACTACTACTACTACTGCTACTACTACTACTACTACTACTACTACTACTACTACGACTGCTACTCTACTACGACTACTACTTCTACTGCATTAGCACTACCATCTTTTTTGCGTCTTAGTACTCCTTACTAATACAGTATGTCGATGCATGTGGTTTCTGCTTGGTGCACTGTTGGCTTTGTTGGGCTGTGACTTCAGGGCTTCAAAGTGACCATGGGTCAGCAAAGGCTTTCACAGCAATCGTTGGCACGTCGGTGCAGCCAGTGACGCACGAGCAACTCCATGAGATCCATAGTGCGTCAAACGATGCACCTTCCACCGGCGGGCAGAAGGATCCTTACAGCCGTTCCAAGAAGCTTCTTCTTTGGCACCGGGACAGAAACAAATGTATGCTCTTGCTGACGCAAAACTGAATGCACGAAGCAGAAGAGGTATACAGAAAGCAGGCATTGCAAAAGCAGACTGAATTCTTCATTTCACGCCTCCCCAGCTTCGCTTAGCTATAACCCTGCGAAAACCTTGGCCCCACGCCCACAGCTCCAAGACGCCACGCCTGCAAATGCTTGCCCTCCCCCCCAGGAGTATCAAAAAACGAGACCCGCTGCACGGTGGAGCCAGGAACACGCGGGAATGTGCACCCGCTCACACGCAACACGGAGCAGAGGATCCAACATCCTCAAGCCCAGAACATTCACGCTTTTGAAACTGGGCATGCTGGCTTCCAGAACACGACCCTGCGCCCTGTTGCCAGAAATAGCAAGTCTTGTTCGTCAGCCGAACTCAACTGGAAGCACTTCGTTTCATCTAGTCGAGGCCCAGGTCGCTTTGTTCACTTCGCTTCCAACTCAGACAGTCACAGGGAGAGGGGTCTGGGAGCCGGACTCCCCGTGACAGTTGGTTTTGGCCCGCGGCTTTGCAAGAATGAATGGAGGAGCTCGATTTGGGAGAAACTTGATGTTTTTGGACCCGGACCTTGCCTCTGTGATTTTTGCTATTGTGGGCGGGTGCATTATAGAGTTTCCGCCTCCTTTCTTCAATTATTCGACGGGGGTTTAACCTCACAACTCAACATCATTAGCTTTCAGGGTGTTTCAGGCTAAGGCCTCAGCCCGTTTCCCTAGCATCCGCCAGTCCCACCCCCCACTCACCGTTCGCACGTGGCACTGCTGCAGCACTCCAAAGAGACAGAGAGAGAGTGAGTGAGTGAGTGACAGAGAGAGAGAGAGAGAGCACGCGAGAGCCACGCGGACTGCCGTAGCCCTCCCATGCATCGGGCTTAAAGTCAAGCAAAGTGGGGGGAGGTTTTTAGAAAGAACTTAACAAGAAGCCTCTCTTCCGCCCACAGCTTTTGACCGGGCACCAGGCTGCCCGTTGAGTTGTGGAGCCGCACGTAGGCCCCCGAGACGAACAGCCTCAAAAAGAAAGAAGAAACTACACCGAACATCCGGGATTCTTGGCATGAAGAAAGGCCTGATGGCTAAATTCACCTGCACTTTGAAGATTCTGCCCATCCCAATCACCGCAGCGCCCCGATTCACTGCAGCCAGATTTTGCTAGGGCCTTGCTGTTGCAAAGCACCGACCGATCCCTGGGTCTCGGAACTGCACGGGTGCTTTCGACACGTGCGGTTCTGTGAAACATCAGTCTGAGGTGTACATGGGTTTCAAGGGGAGTCTGGGGCTTCGGCTGCCGCCCCTGCCCCTGCGTATAGGACTCTTTGGAACTAGGCAGGAAGCAAGGCAAAAACGATCAAGATTACTCAGCCGAGGTTGATGGCCCCGCCACCAGGCTGGTAGGGATTCGCAATGGGTCCAGCATTTGGATTTGGCGGCGCCTGTGGATTCCGGTTTGCCCGGTAATAGACGACGCGAACTTGATCAGGACTGATGCTGGAGCTCAGGAGCTCAGAGGCAATGACACGCTGTACATCCTGTCGTTGGACGTAGCTTAGCCTTCGGCAAATCTCCTCGCTAACTTCACGGTTATCAGACTGGATCTGAAAACAGACATCGATCGTTCTCGAGACAGTCAGCCGTCGCCCCCCCCCAACCAGGCAGCCAATAATAAGCTCCACAGCCGCTGCCGCGACATTTGCACCCGCCAGGCGTGCGATCGCTCTCTGCACGGCGGACTGGAACTGTGCCGATTCCATCACTTGCTGTGGAGCTTCAATTGTGAGATCTCCCGATGACACGAAGGCAGCTGCAGCTGTTGAGGCAGCACCTGCAGCACCCGCGCTGCCAGAGCTCCCAGAGCCACCGCCAGCTGTTCCACCAGCTCCACCAGCACCTCCACCAGCACCTCCACCAGCGCCTCCGCCGGCGCCTCCTCCACCAGCACCACCGGCACCACCAGCACCACCGGCACCACCAGCACCTGCAGCAAGTAACTGCAGGGATGCATGTAAGCAATTTCGCGGCTAGCTACACGCGCACGGATGTAATCATTACAATGTAATCTGCATGAGCAACACAATGACGTCTCGCGCGTCCAAAGACATGGCGATCATGGACACGTCGACCTTCCCTCGCTGATCTATCCACCGCTGAGATTTGGAGGGTTTGGGGTCGGTTGCCTTGCATCTTGCATTGAAGGCTTAGGGTATATAAGCTTCAGTCACAACTCACAATTTCACAGCGAATCCGGCACGAACCGGGTTTGATGCTCCCCACATGCCCGGTTGAGGTTCCCTACATGGTAATGGTGGAAGTGCGGCACGATTTTTAACATGACATGTAGATCAGGTCTCAGTCAGGAGGCTTAGCCCTACCCCATTGCAATCATGTCCTTGGGAACCCCTTAACAGGATGGCAGTCATTTTACATCCAATGTGTCACATTGGAACACGGCCCATGTCGCCCTTTGCCATCATTCTTGGGGGCTGGAAACGATTGTGGCAATTCACATCATTTAGCCCCCTATACTATGCCCTATACCCCGCTTGCAATCATTTCTTCGGAAACAATGATACACGTAGTCTTGTCTTGCCTGCACCGCCTGCTGCACCGCCTGCACCGCCGGCAGCTGCACCGGCACCAGCAGCCGCGCCCCCGCCAGCAGCTGCGCCAGCACCCGCAGCCGGTGGAAGGCCACCGCCAAGCTTAGTATGGGTGTTTAGCAGAGAAGGTAAGCGCATGAAGTACTGAACGTGTAAGTGCAAGCCTTTGCTATTTGCCTTTGCCTCGCTACGGACCTTCGGCTATCAGCCAGTCCTCAGTGTGCGGGGGATCGCTCAGTGTTGTCGGACACAATCATACTGAAATACACCTGCTGCGGAGGAAAACTCGGCGCTTGTTACTACCGTTCCCGATTCTTGTTCCTCGTGCGACACGGCCTCGAGGATGATTACCAATTGCTGATAGCATCAGGGTCATCACTGCCATCATGTCCCTCGGCATCTTTTGCCAGACTGTAGCGCAAGTCAAGGCACCCCCACAGCGAAGGCAACTGTGGCCACGCCCAGACCCATCCCGAGCTCCTCGACATCGACCACGCACTGCCTGGGCAAAAATCAAAGTGACAGGACGAACAGATGCATATCCACAACTGAAGCTACTTGTACCGTCTGACTGGCTAAAGCTATAGCCGTAAGGCCACCACGCGCAATTGCCTCATCTTTCTCTCAGGTGGAACCCGTCCCTCAAGCACACAATCGTCACCTCATCCTAGAAGTGCGGTCAGGAGCATACACAGCATGCTCGCGTGGTCTCGCAAACCATCTCACACCACTCTAGAAATCAGTAACGCGCCAGCAAGACGAAGGCACTTTGCACCACTCCATACTCATGACAGACAAGCCACGCGCAGGTCCAGAATGCCTCGTCTTCGCATTCTAAGGGGCAGTCGCCTTGGTCACGAGGAGCCGTGAGCGCGATCCCATGCAAGGGCAAAGCCAGGGAGAGGATGCAGGCAATATCACAGCCAACCATCTTGTCAAGGGATTGGCTTGCACGGGCATGCTGCAGCCCGGCCACAGAATGAATCGTTCACGTAGACCTGCGAGGTGTAGATCCAAGCCGACAGAAGCCAATCCGCGAGACCAAAGCCCCTTCTCTTTAGCCAAGGGTTTTTTGCTACAATTGGTCTTTGATGGGGAGGAGAGGATGACTCCCGATGCTGGCACGACTGAGAAGCTCCTAGCTCACCTAAAGAGCATGAAGGAACAAATTGGATAGTGCCGTTGATTGCGAAGTTTCAGGCTTGAAATTAACCAGCGGAGCTTTGTGAGCCCTGCAGGATCGAAACCCAGCCACCTCCGGGATCTGGCATCCATCGTTGCATGTGAAGGTTTCCTGGGCAACTCTTCCCGGTGCAGGTGCCGCGATGAACTACGATACCCTATCTTACCGGTCTCCTCTCGGTGCAATGGTCGGGGGGCTCAGGCTTCGAGCATGCATATGCTGTGTGAGGCTGTTGTGCTGGGGAACCTCAGGATTAATGGATCTTAGCATCTTCGACTTCTGAACCTTCGAAGCTTTCCAGCATGCTTCCAACTTTTCAGGGTCGAAGCACTCATTAAGCCCTCACCCTTAACCGACACATTTTCAACCCTTGAACACAAGCCCCGGAACCCTGAATTACCCAAAACCAGAATGCCGAAGCACCAGGCCCCACGAAACCGAAGTTTTGCATCAAACTGCGATTTTCACGATGACAGAAAGCACTATTGTCGGACGTCCCGCCTTATGTGCTACACGGGAACTATTGGCAAGAGCTATCAACATGGTTCGTGCTCTTATTCGCCTTACTGCTAACGCCTTTTACAATCTATTGTGGCTAGACCGAAGTTCACGGTTGGTCGTATTGTTGGCAGTTATCAACGTTCGCAGTCATGCTGTCCATCTTTGCCCCACCCTACACCCACAGCCCTCCAGCAAATGTGCCCAGCTTCACTGATGCTTTCTGCCGGAGGTAGTGCCGGCAACGGATCCGAGGCTCCCAACTGACAGGGTGCTCAATCGGGTTCAAGTCATTCTATGAACTATAACAATGTTTGAGACTGTTTTCGCCAAAAGGCTGGGAGGACGAAAGACAATAGTAGCAATAGTAGCAGTGCTTTTTGGTTGTATGATGTTACATGAGCGAGTCGGCTTTGGGGGTTCTGAAGGACGAGCTGCCACGATTGGGGGCACAAAATGGGGCATGCACAGTCGAAAACAGCAAATGGTCGATGACCCTTACGCCTGGAGTCATCCAGCTTTTTGCTATGACGACCGTCGCAACAATAGCATGAAGCTCCCGTCAGGGGTTGACACGATGTGACGACGACTTTGCTTGTGGACACATTCTGCTACTGCTGCTGCTGCTGCTGCTGCTGCTATTCTCTTTTTGAAACTTATGTGCCGAGAACCCATCAACTATTGTTCCGCGCGCTATGAGTAGTAAAGCATCACTGGTGATGGCAAGCGGCAAATCCAAAATGAAACCATCCCCCACCTGACAGGGATAATCACAAGTTGACTCCTAAACAACCAAACCCACTTTACCACTTTAATTACCACAATTGTCCACCCCATGGCCCGGAATTCCCTTAAACCCTGACGGCCCTTACCTGTAAAATCCAAACCCCATTGCAGGCAAGCAAAAACGAACAGCACTTCCGAGCGCCCCGCGAGCTTGAGCTGGAACGTCGGGTCCAGGGACCTCGGCTTGCGCACGGTCCTCTGTCTCTGTCTCTTCTTCGCAACAGCAGAAACAACACAACTGAAGTCAAAGGTAACGGGGCTTTCGATATCGATCGGCATGCTACCCTCCTCCGTTTCTGTCCCTGTCGCTCTTCTTTTGAAGCAATGGACTTGGCTCATGCCAGCACAGATAACGATTCGCTTCTTCCACACAGCCAAGAGAGCAGCACCCACGCACTGCCCCACGCGCTCGCAAGTGAGCGGCGCCGTCTGGGCTCTCTTGGAGGGCCCCCCTGCAGCTGCTGTTTGGCTGGTTGGTCCCCCCTGTGGTGGCTTGCGCTGCGGTGCTTGTGCCGTTGCTGGCTGCTGCAGCTGCTGGCCTTGTGTTCGAGTTGTGCTGCCGTGAGTCCCGTCTTGCAGCTGGCGCTTTGCGGCGTTGTTCGGATGCCCCCGCTGCCAGCCCACGGGCCCACTCTTCTTCGTCATCTTCAAGCAGACCCACGAGATGGGCCACTTGCTTCCATGTCTCGTCGTCTCCCTTTTCCCAACCACGCTGTTTGAAAGCCGTCTGGACCGCAGGTTTGAATCTTTTGCCGATTCGCTCTCTCTTTGCTTTGCTTTGCTTGAGGCATGGGGCGGGAGCAGCCCTCCCATCCATTCACTCTCTCTCTCTCTCTCTCTCTCTCTCTCTTTGTCTGTCTGAGTCTCTTTTTTGGGGAGTGAGGGGTGGTCTTGATGCTTGTGGGTATGATGACCTGCAGTAATATATAGCACATCATATGTCTGTCTGTCTGTCTGTCTGTCTGTCTGTCTGTCTGTCTGTCTGTCTGTCTGTCTGTCTGTCTGTCTGTCTGGCTGTCTATCTGGCACAGCCTGGCTTGTAAATGAGCGCTGTGATATCTTGAAATTCTCCTTGTCATAGTAGCTCCTGGACTACAGCAACAGTGTTATAGTAGGTATAGGACTGTGAGCCCTTCTTGACACCGTGAGAATGAGGAGGGCCCATGGAGGCACCATGATCTGGAACCGCCACAGTATGAGAGGAAGAGAGCTCTCCTTTTTTGGCTTAGGGTTGCGGAGCCTGCAGTTTTGGGTTGAGGATTGGTCGGCGACTCACCACTGGCAAGTCCTCCAACTTCGGGTAGCCAACTTCTGGGATTGCATCAAAGGCACCCCATCTCGAAGACCGTCAGGGTGTCTTGAAAGAAGGTGACGTAGCTGAGTCGGATGCTGGTGTTCGTCGCCGGCCCCTCGTAAGTCACATCATGTCACTCCAGTGGCTGAGTAGGCTCACACAACTTGTGCCAAGACGGTCTTCTGCTCTAAGAAAAGCAGAAACTTTTCGTGCAGCAACTGGCATGAGGAATGTGCGGAGATGGGAATCCCACAAGAGACCAGAATTTCCGAACCACCGGGCGGAAGCTCAGCATTGGCTTCACGCCTCGTGAAGAAACGTGAATCCTTAATGCATGGGTACCTGAATGCTGGCACAAAACCCGGGCTTAAAAACACCCCCTCCATTCCTGATCCCAGCGGCAGACCCGTCTCGAAGTTGGAACAGAGAACTTCTGTTCCCCTTGAACCTCCGAGCTCCAGAACTTCTTGCAAGTGACCGGGCGACGTTTATGTTTTGATGACTATAGGACCGGAGTCATAAGCCCCAAACCCGACACTGCATGCAAGGCATCCTCACGCACCTGCCGATTGAAGTGACAGCCAACAGCAAGACACCATGAACGCGCTTGCACCAACAAGAACAGGAACGACACACAGTTCACAAACGTACTTACGAATTCCCTCCTTCCCGGACATATAACGGTTCAGCCAGGCACCGATGTGTCAGCGTTGTGTTGCTGGGAAAAATCAGGCCCGGGCCTTGGCACATCCAAGCCACTTGAAGGAACCCGGGGGTCTACAGTAGGGTCCAGGGTAAAACGTCCGAATCTTATAGGGTCCTGCCTAGGGTTTAGGAGGTTGGGGTCTCGACGGGCTCCAGGACCCCGTCCTGATTCCGAACACGTCAGGGCTAAACCCTGAAGTCTGCCGTCTTCTAAGCTAAGCGCAACTTCAATGAGCTCCCGCTTATTGTGGAGGCTCGGGTGACTTAGTAAGTTGTGTGATAAGTCAGGTCACAAGAGTTAGCTATTAATCACCTTTATAGCCTCCATTGAACTTGGGGCACGCGCAACTCTACGTACAATGTTTCCTCAATACCGATCTGTTGCAAAGGCGCAGTGAACCCTAACCCCCCGAACCCAAAACCAACATGGAGGTCCTAAACCTCCCAATTCAAACCCGGCAAATTCCCAAAGCCCTGGAACAGAACCCCCCAAATCGCTAGGAATGAAAGCCACTCAACACCGGCCCTTGGCTCCTGCCGGGCAGCCGGTATCGAAGGGAGTGCCCACCGCAATCCGGTAGCCCAGGGTCTCGGAGATTCGAAGACTCTTTGGAATAGGAGTCCCAGATTGCAGGGTTCACTTGAGGAGACCGCAAAGGTCAGGGGAAGTCATGCAGTGCTGCTCGTCTTCGCCGCAGAAATGTCAAGTTAGCCATGCAAAGCTTTGCGCTCCAACCGTACAGGAGGGGCCACTTGAGCTCCCTCCTCACGGTAATTATTGGCTTAGGACCTGATTTGGACCCGAACGCTCTTTTGACCGGGTGCCTGCTACTAAGTGTGCTGTGGCAAGCTGCTTAGAGCTAGCTCTCGTGAGGACCTGGACTAGACAAGTACACGACGTGTGCAGAGATATGAGGGAATATACCGAACTCCTTTTTGAGGTGCCTCTTCCATCACATGGCTCGGAGTTCAGAGTTCAGGGGAGCTTCGAGGGGTGAGAAGAGCTGCAATGCTGTGATATGCCCTCCAATCTGCAGCTCACGATACACGCTGAAGAATACAGATATAGAGGAGAGACAAAGAGAGAGAGAGAGAGAGAGAGAGGGAGAGACAGAGCGAGAGAGGGAGAGAGCGAGAGAGGGAGAGGGAGAGGGAGAAGGAGAGAGATAGAGATAGAGAGAGCAAGAGAGAGAGAGAGAGAGAGAGACAGAGAGAGCTAGCCAGAGTACGAACACGGACCGACATGTGTGTGTAGATATATATATATATATATGTATATACAGATGCAGTAGGTACAAGTCTAGATGTATACACGCGTGTCTATATCGCCAACGGATCCTACGGAGATGCGCCCCCTGGAACCAACTTTGCACGGTTTCCCCATCGGTGTCTGTCGATACTTTGGTTTACTAATGCGCTTTCTTTTGAATGGTTTGGGAAACTCCTGGGGCCCAGATTTCCAGATTATTCAAAGTTGCACAGACTAAGTTTCAGGATTTGAAGATCTGGAATTGTAGCAGAGATAGAGATTTTCAATAATCTCGACTCGAAGCACTGCTTCAAAACCTTCATGAAACCTTCCGCCCCAGCGCTAGAAGCGTTTTTCAAGCACCATACGGCTCCCACCCTGCTCCTTCGAGTCGAAATCCCAACTAGTTAATTGACGGAACCTGTCCCCATCATCTTTGCCATGGAAGCCGTTTCGTATCCTTCATACGCCGGATATTTCAATACTTTCGTTGTCCGCCATAATAAGTGAGGCGCGAAAAGCACGCTGGAGTTCTGCAGTATACATAAAAGAGACGACGTGCGGCGCCGGATGGCACTGGCACAGAGCAACCGCCTGGCAGCAACCCTTACAACAAATCCACAACACAATAACACATCGCACCATAAATTCGCAAAGAGAAAACAGAGAGTGTCGGCGTGCGGGGGGGGAGGGGGCGCCGATCCGTCTGCTCCACTCGTTCCACTCGCCCTGTATGTTCCCTGCTCCACTCATCCCTTCTATCTACAGCGCGAGTGG